GACCCTCTCTGGGCCATCCAAACCCTCCTGGGGCCAACCCCACCCTCCTTGGGTCAACCACAACCTCCCTGAGGCATCCACAACTTCCTTGGGTAACCTGTGCCAGTGTCTCACCACCCTCACAAGAAAAAACCCCCCTCTTCCTAATATCCAATCTAAATTCCCCTCTTGCAATTTATCCCCATCCTTCTCTTGATCCCTTGGTCGTCCTCACAGCCACCAGCACATCTCCTGCATCCCAGGCCACCAGCCAGGCCATCCTGAGTCCTTCCTCCTCACTTCTCTGACATATTTACCTTGGGTCCCTTAGAAACCAGCAGTGCTGCATCTCCTCTGTGCCATTCCCAGTTCCAGGAGCACCATTATTAGGGGAATATTTTTCCACAGAGTGTCAGCCCTTTAAAAATAAGCCTAAAGCAAACAGGCTTGGACTTGGCTGATTAATCACCAGTGTTTTGATGAACTGAAATGCCTCCCCATTTCCTCTAAATAGACTCAAATGAGCATTGCCATGGCTGCTTAGCATTTGGAACCCTCCAAGCCACTCAGATGTTGCCTTAAAAGGCAAAGGAGATTGGGAAGTTCTTGCCTGGAATCTCTGAGTGCTTGCAGTAACGCTCTGGTGCTCAGGGAGGGATGGAGGGGTTGGATGGGGTAGGGATGGGGGAGAGGGGGTGGTGGTGGAGGGAGGGTCTCATGTCCTGCTCTGAATGCCCCAAAGGTCCTGTTGGAGGAGGAAATTGGTGGGTTAGTGGTGGTTATTGATCTGGGTGGTCAGCAGGGTCGGGGGGGCATGGGAGGGCGAATAAAGTGGGTTTGTGAGGGAAAGGGGAACAGGAGAGGAGAAAGGAAGAAGATTAGGAGGAGGAGAGGAGAAGAGAAGAGAAGGAGGGGGAGGAGCAGGAGGAGAAGAAGAAGGAGAGGAATAGGAGAAGGAGGGGAGGAGGAGGGGTGGAGGAGGAGAGAAGGAAAGGAGAAGAAGAAGGAGAGGAGAGGAGAGGAGCAGAGAGGAGAGGAGAGGATAGGAGAGTAGAGGAGGAGAAGGAGAAGGAGAAGGAGAAGGAGAAGGAGAAGGAGAAGGAGAAGGAGAAGGAGAGGAGGAGGAGGAGGAGGAGAGGACAGGATAGGATGACAGGCACAGGAGAGCAGAGCAGAGCAGGGCAGAGGTTACCTAGGGACTCACAAATGCTGTCCCCAAGCTGAGGGAAGGGGCACTCAGTGGCCTGGAGGCTGTTGTTATGTCAGTCCTGGCAGAGAGGACGTATGGAAATGCATCTGGGGACGTTTTGCCTCTGGAAGGAGCCAAATCTCCCCAGCCCGCAGCTATTTTCAGACCCATGTCCTGGGAAGAGTCCCTCACGGCCCTGAGGACTAGGCTGAGCGTCCTGCCCTGGCCACGTGCTCTCCTCAGCCAGAGAACAAGCTGTGAGGACAGAAGCCTTGGGGGTCATGTGCTGCCACACAGCTCTGTGCTGCCTCCAGGGAGATGTGTCCCATCAGGGCTCAAGGAGGGCTTGACTGAAAGGGGAGCAGCTAGAAGGCCCCAAGATGCTGGAGCAAGTCTAGAGGAGGCCACAGAGATCCTCCAAGAGCTGGAGATCCTCTGTCCTGGAGCCAGGCTGGGAGAGCTGGGGGTGTCCAGCCTGGAGAAGAGAAGCTCCAGGAATACCTCAGAGCCAGAGGGACTTGGGGCAAGGGATGGAGAGACAGGACACAGGGAATGGCTTCCCCCTGCCAGAGGGCAGGGACAGGTGGGATATTGGGAAGGAATTCCTCCCTGTGAGGTGCTGAGGCACTGGCACAGGTTGCCCAGAGCAGCTGTGCCTGCTCCATCCCTGGGAGTGTTCCAGGCCAGGTTGGATGAGGCATGGAGCAATCTCAGCTAGTGGAAGGTGTCCCTGCCCGTGGCAGGGGATGGGATGAGCCTTAAGTTCCCTTCAACCCCAGACCAGTCTGGGATTCTGTGAACTAGTCGTGGAGGCTCCAGTGTGAGGGTCACTGCTGGGGACACTTGTCATGCTGCACCCCAGGAGAAAAGGGCACTGTGAGCAAAACATCTTAGGCCAAACCTGCTCCTGCAGCTCATGTTGAAATGGCTCCAGAAAGAGTGAACTCAGCCTGCACCCCTGACACTGAGTCAGTCTCTGATGTCACCTGCAGCTCTGGTGGCCTCTGGAAGCCAAGTGTGAGATATCACTCCCAGATGTGAGGTATCACCTCCCAACATCACTCCCAGCAGTGGGACATCACCTCCCACAGCTGTGGGACATCACCTCCAGGTGGGAGACATCACCCCTCAACATCACCCCCAACTGTGAGACATCATCCTCCAGCTGTGGGATGTCACTCCCAGCTGTGGGACATCACCCCCTGATGACACTAGAGTCTCAGGAGCACAACAGGGGACTCCTGAGCCAGAATTGGGCCCATCCCAACCACCAGCACCTCTGGGAAGTCCAGGCTCA